CCTGCCCCCACCAGGAAGCAAAGGCTTTAGGGCTATTGTGTCTGCATGATGTCCCTCAGCAGTTGCTGCTCTGTGGCCTCACACCAGCCCCTCTCCCCTCCCCAGGCTGAGCTGATGAGTGGCCTCATTGAGTACTGCATTGAGCTGAGCCAGGCTGCTGAGCCCACTCTGCCCCAGGAGAGTGCATCTGGTCCCCAGGAAGCTCCCAGCCCCTCTCCACCTCCCATTCAGCGCCCCAAGCTGCGGAGACAGGGCAGCGTGGTGTGTAGCCGGATTCAGCATCTCTCCACCATTGACTATGTGGAAGACGGTAAGCCTCTGGTGTGTGCGTGGTGTCTGTCGCACACACAGTGTGGGCACAGCACACACATGCACACATGCCACGGGGACTCCAGAGGGTGGGAAAAGGAAGAGCTGGGGCCTCAGCCCTCAGGGACATTTCCTGTCTGTCCCATCTTACTGCTGCACTGACAGACGTGTCCATTGTAGCAGCTTCTAGAACATGGAAAACAGGAAATTCTTCATGCTTTTTCTTTTTTTTTAATAATTAAAAAAAATTTATTTATTATGTACACAGTATTCTTCCTGCATGTGTCCCTGTAGGCCAGAAGAGGGCATCAGATCTCATTACAGGTGGTTTGTGAGCCACCATGTGGTTGTTGGGAGTTGAACTCAGGACCTCTGGAAGAGCAGCCAGTGCTCTTAACCTCTGAGCCATCTCTCCAGCCCCTTGTTCATGTCTTTTTTTATTTTTTAGTGTAGTACTAGAGCCAGTGTGGGATGGCTCAGTGGGGAAAGGTGTCTGCCATGACCTGACAGCCGGGTCCAATCCCTTGGACCCACAGGGTGGGAAACAGAACGGACCCTGACCTCCACATGTGTGTCATGTCAGGCACACCCTATAGCCAGACACACACAAAGAAAAACCATGTAATTAAAAAGAAATTAGCCAGGTATGGTGGTGGGAGGCAGAGGCAGGCGGATGGATGGATCTCTGTGAGTTTGAGGCCAGCCTGGTCTACAGAGTGAGTTCCAGGACAGCCAGGGTTGTACAGAGAAACCCTGTCTTGACAAACCAAAAAGAGAAAAGAAAAAAATAAATTAGCCAGGTGTGGTGACACACACCTTTGTTCTCAGTTCTTGGGAGTTTAAAGGCAGGCTGGTCTATATAATCAGAGTCTAGTCCATCAAAGAACTACACAGTGAGACCCTGTTTTTGGTTTTGTTTAGGGTTTTTGTTTTTGTTTTTTCTCTCTGTCACACACACACACACATACACTTCTGGTTCTCTGAGTGTATACATTTGTCCTATTTCAGCATCTGAGGCAGGATACCACATTGTGTTTTGTCCTTTTGAAATAGGGTCTCATGTATCCCAGGCTGGCCTCAAACTCCATATATAACCAAAGATGACTTTATTTTACTTATGTTTTTGAGACAGAGCTGCCCTGGAACTTGCTATGTAGACCAGGCTGGCCTTGAACTCATAGAGAACTGCTTGCCTCTGCATCTCTGAGATTAAAGTTGTGTGCCACCATGCCCTACTCAGATTACTTTAAACTAAACTTCTACCTTCAAAGTAAAACTGATTCTTAGGTTTTTAATTTTTTTAGTTAAATTTTTTCTTCTTTTTTAAAGATTTATTTATCTATTTATTATGTACACAGAAGAGGGCGCCAGATCTCATTACAGATGATTGTGAGCTACCACATGGGTGCTGGGAATTGAACTCAGGACCTCTGGAAGAACAGTCAGTGCTCTTAACCTCTGAGCCATCTCTCCAGCCCCTACTTAAATTTTTTTGTTTGTTTGTTTATATTTTGAGACAGGATTTCTCTATGTATCCCTGGCTGTCCTGGAACTTAATCTGTAGACCAGGCTGGCCTCGAACTTGTAGAGATCTGCCTGCCTCTGCCTCCTGAATGCTGGAAGTAAAGGTGTTCACTGCCACCGCCCAGCTTAGTTTAATTTTTAATGATTTTACGTCTATAGGTGTTTGTCTGCATGTGTGTTTGTGTACTACTTGGGTGTCTGGTGCCCAGAGGAGGACGTCAGAGCCCTGGAGTTACAGACGGTTGTCAGCTGCCATGTCAGTCCTGGGAACTGAACTCAGGTCCTCTGGAAGAGCAGCCAGAGCGCTTAGCAGCTGCACCATCTCCCCAGTCCCACACTTACTTCTTTTAATTTTTGTGCATTACGCACCTGCCTTCACTGTGGCTTGCGCTGGCCTGGAGCTTGAAATGGTCCTCAGATGCCCTGACCTGCGTCGTGCGTACTTGTCACGCCTTTGTCTGGCCTGAATGTTTGGTAAAAGGCCTGTTGTTGGATGTTTCCCTCATGTGTTGATGGGTTAGGGATGTGAGCAGGCAGACCAAGGTGTCACTGTCACGTGCCCTGACCATAGCCACTGCCCTCCGTCACCTGTTTGGCTTCCCACTGTACTTAGTGAGAGTCACTGTACTTAGTGAGAGTCACTCGGGAGCCAGTCTGGAGTCATCCCTGTCTGGGATTGGCGAGGGTGACCGTGGTTCCATCAACCACTGATGATGGAGTTCAGGGTGGAGACTCTGGGGTGGAGATGGGCTCAGAATGACGACACTTCTGAGGGAAGGCACAGTTCAGACTCCAGAAGAAGCTGCCCCAGTGGACGCAGAGCCCAGCCTCCTCCCAGCCCCTCTTCCCAGCCTGTCTCTCTCACCCTCACAGGCAGGGGGATCAAGCGGGTGAAACCAAAGCGCACCACATCCTTCTTCAGCCGGCAGCTCTCCACCAGCCAGGGCAGCTACACCGTGGTGCAGCCCACTGATGACAGCCTGGAGCAGAGCTGAGGGAAGCCATGCCTGACATCTGGATGCCCCAGACCTGAACAGGCACTGCCCTAGGCCGGGCCAAGCCACCTCAGTCCCAGAGGCTGTGGGCCTGGGCCATGCTGTGCAGGGTCTGCTTTGGAAAAGTGATGTCCAAGCCTGCCCTGAACCTGACTGGGAGGAGCTGGCCTGCAGCCCCCTCTACAGCCTGCCTCTTCCTGAACTCCAGGCCCAGCCGCTGCCCCTCCTGCTCATCCCCAGGTGGACTGTGTCCTCTCTCTGAAGGGACTGCTGGCAGTTCCGATGGCAGGTGACTGCTGCTCAGAGCTCAGGGCCTGCAAGTTCAGTGTTTGCCCTTGGTCTCCGGGACCGCAGTGACCTCACCTTGTATTCCTTCTTCTGACATTCCGCCCACACCGCCAGGACAGGCTCTGCCTTCTCTCCTGGGGTGTGTGGGACTGGAGGTCCGCTCTGCAGGTGGAGGCCTGTGTGTCCGGTCTCTGTCCTAGGGACTGGCTCCACACTCCACACAAAGAAAGCCCTGGCCAGCCCTCCCACTTCCCTGAGCTTGACTGGATCTGCCACACCTGCCAGGCCCGTTCTTTTCCTGTCATCTGGGTCTCAGGGTGTTAGATTTCGTCTTGTTTCATCTGCTTTGATGAGATGACCTGGTAACTCCAGCGATCCCCTGCTAGCCTCAGTCTGCTCTGTGGGCTTCCCTGAGGCCAGCCCCACTAACTCAAGCCTTCTCTCCCAAGGATGTTGGAAAGGGGGCCTGGCTCTGGTCCCCGGAAGCAGCGACTGCTCTAGAGAGGAGCTGGTCCAGGGAGGGATGCTTCCCAGGCCCTTGGGCCCCACTGGGGTGAGTGTGCAGCTCTCAGTACTTCCTGGGAATTCCCACAGGGTCCCAGAGACACAGAGCTCCACTTTGTCTTCTCAGTGGAAAACCACAGAAGTGCAAACCCTCACATTTCTCTAAGTGAGAGCAGCTTACCAGCCCAGTGGGCTCCAGAGGTCTTGGCAGCAGAGAGAAGGAAAAGGCCGACTTCACTTTTGGAATGTCTGTCTGTAGGGTGATGTCACCTGCACTTGTGGTCAGTCTCTTGGAGTCATATACCTTTGAAGAGCTGCCGGCCTACTCTCTTGGCGACGACAGCCTTGGTCTTCCTGACTGCTGTTGATGGCTCCAGGTGTGTTATGTGAGGGGCCAGGGTGTGTGTGTGTGTGTGTGTATGTGTGTGTGTGTGTGTGTGTGTGTATACACGAACTATGTATTTCCATTAAGCATCACTTGTGCCTTAACCCTCCGGGACAGAGCACTGTGACTAGATGTCCCGAGTGTCCTCCGTCTTTCCTGTCATTTGACTTATTAATAAAATCAGTGCCTACCATGCTTTGGCGTGGTTTGTAACATGGGATAGCCAGGGTGTCCTAACTACACATGGTCTGTGTGCCTAGAATATAGTCTCAGGACTTCACCCCAGGAAAGTCTCATCTGGTGGATCCTGGACACCCTTCTTGGTCTGGGAAGAGGTGGATTGGGGAGACCTGGGCTCAGGTGGGGCCAGGAGGAGCTCTGCGGATCCTCTGCCCTTCCTTGGCCTCCAAGGTCCTTCTGGTTACCAGGCTGCGTCCCACAGCAGGCTGCGGAGGCAGCAGGGTGTGAGCCTTGGCCCTGTGGGACAAACTCCAGAAACTGGGTTCAGCTTAGCCATGTGTCCCTGAGGCACTGTGATCTTACCAGTGGGGCATGTTGCCTGTCATGCCTAATAGCTAGAGAGATGCCCTGTCCTCTGTGTGGCCCTCTGCCAGGCTGCTGTGACTAACAGTGCTACCATGACACACACTTAGAGCTCTGTTTCTTGGTCTTTCGGGCAGGTTGATTGACAACAATGACCTCAAAGATTCTGGGTGCTTCAGTATCTGCTCCATGTGCAGGGAGCTATTAGCAATACTTTCTTAGCACCTTAGACCTCTGCATCTGGGGACCTGGCAGGGGAGGAGGGGCAGGGCCACACTAGTGACCTGGACCAGCATGGCAGGGTGCCTGGTACCCCTTCCTCCTACCCAGATACACTATTTCCTGGGTTCATTTTTTATTTTCACTCTTTGGGGGCCCACCACCCAGCTCCCAAATAAATAAATGGACACTTATTCTTACTTATGAATGCCTGGCCTTAGCTTGGCTTGTTTCCAGTCAGCTTTTCTAACTTAAATTATCCTGTTTCTCTTTAACTACATTTTGCCTCTGGGCTTTTTACCTTTATGTTTTCTATATCTTTCTTCCTTTTTTTTTTTTTTTTTTTTTTTTTTTTT